GCCTACGAACCAGTGCATTGATCCTTCCTGTGGGGGCCACGGCTCCTGCATTGATGGCAACTGCGTGTGTGCTGCTGGCTACAAGGGCGAGCACTGTGAGGAAGGTAAGCCCAGAGAGGTAGCTGGTCAGCTGCTCAACAACTATCCAGGATTGACCTTAGCAGGAGATGGTTCTGGAAGGAATATTCTGTTTTACTCTGCTTTACAGACATTAGCTACTTTTCTCTTCCCCCTGTGTTTTCTCTTTTGATTACTCTCTATCTCTGTCTGTCTGTCTGCCTGTACTATCTTTTCCTTTTCCTCCTTGTCTTCCTCTCTACTCCAGATCTTTCGGAAAAAAACTTACTTATTTGTGTGTGTGTGTGTGTGTGTGTGTGTGTGTGTCTGTGTGTGTGTGTGTGTGTGCTCTCACACACATGCACACAACATACATGTGGTGGTTGGAGCACAGCTTGCAGGAGTTGGTTCTCCTCATTTACCATGTGGCCTCTGGGGCTTGAACTTACGCCCTCAGCCCTGGGAATAAGCAGCTTTACCTGCTATGTCATCTTGCCAGGTCCCATCTCCAGATTTAACCCCCTCTTTTCTTATGTTTCATTTAACATCCTCTAACAGAGACTTTCTGGGACTAACTAGAGAAAGGAAATAAGCATTCCTAAGCCTCTGCCCGCCTCTCACCCTCCAAGCTGGCTTCTTGATGTTGTTATGATTTGGTTTCTTTCTTCTTGGTATTCTTAGGCCCATGCACATCTCCGGAAATATTTCAACAAAACCTCCTGTCCTTGGAGAATAGACAGGCTTGAAAGACTGTACATATGTGGGTCATTTTGAGACCCCACCTACAGCAAATGAGAGAACGAAGTCATAAGCCTGTGACTTGATGTAACCTTAACCACCAGTGCAGCCCTCCTTTACCTCAGTCATGACAATACCTAATTCTTAGAAACACCCTACAGGCTTCCTTTATAAAATCCCCCATTCCATTGTGCATACAACCGTGGCCTCGAAAGAGTCAGCTTCTACATCATTCTTCTACAATTTTTCAATATATCACTAATAATGCCCTTAATGTCACCCAGCAGTCTGACCCCCCAGACCTCCCCTTGCTCCATTCACCATACATTTTCTCCTCTATTGCCATAGGTAACCTCCCTGTGTTTTTTATCATAAAACCAAATTGGGAGTTGGGATGGAGGAAATCCTGATTTAATAGCCCTGCTGGAAAGGTTAAAGTTCCTGAAGATGAATTGATTACAAGAGGCAAAGCTGCATTTGCTGAAAACATGGGAGAGGTCAATAAAATGACAGGAAAGGTTAAAACAACCTTCTGCATATACTGCTGGGCAATAGCAAAATACAGGGACAGGCGTTGTCAGTCTTCCGATTTTTTTTCTCTCCAGGAAAGAAATGTATGAGTGGAATGTCAAGTAGTTCCTCGACTTTCTTACTCTCCTAGGCAGTCTTATGTAAATGTTCAGAGGGAATCAACCACTCAGTGAAACAAGTAAGCCACATGGAGTGTTGTAGAAGGATGAGATCTCCCCTATTGATCTCTGCTACCCAAAAAGAATGAACAGAGGGGACGCATGTGTGCTGTTTTTAAAGAGGAAATGGAATCAGAACGCCTGAGTCAGCACTTTTTCTTCCACTTAGCTCTTTTGTTTCTGATATTCCTCACAGTCATAACGTTCTAATACTTTACCTGAGATGGCAATGGCAATGAAATCAATAGTTACCATCCTCTGTTTTTGCTGCATAAACATTGTTGTAGTATTAACAAATTTGTGCAAGGAAAACGAAAGGCCGTCTTTTGAGACACAGCACAGTGATGTCTGGGGGAAGAGACGAGAGGGGAACTGACAGGTTAGTTTAAGTCGGCCATGTTTTCATGTCAGTTTCATGGTTGAGTCATTTTTCAATGACATTCAACTTCATAAATGTAATTCATGGTTCTTCGGGGGTTCATAGTACACATTGTTTGTAAAAATTCCTTTGACCTCCTTTTCCATCCTTGGGGACGGAAACCGCATTCACAACCCTTTTTGTCAAATCCACAGAGGACCCCAGACCAAATGAGTTCTAATGATTTCAGCCTTCAGGAGTTGTTGTTTCCAGGGACAGGGCACTTAACTGAGCAAGACCAATGTCCTCCTAAGTACAACTGTTTCTATTTATAAAACCTCATAAAACCACAGAGTCTCTCCTGCCTGTTAAAGACTCTAAAAACATGGCCTAAAGACCATCTGATGGAATTGGAACCAAATTTAAAATTCATTGTAAAACCATTCCTCTTAAAATTTGAATTTGGTTATTCCATCAGCCACTGTAATTACAGGGCACCAAGGGCATATTTACTGATACCACAGACCAGAGAAATTGTTGGCTCATATTTCTAGATGCTATAAATGGCCCTTTTGATGACATTCTAGTACCGGGGCAATAAATCTCAGTGGATTTTCCTCCTTTCTTCTTACCGTAATTCAGGACGAATTATAGCTGGCAGAAAAATATCTCCTCTCTCTCTCTCTCTCTCTCTCTCTCTCTCTCTCTCTCTCTCTCTGTGTGTATGTGTGTGTGTGTGTGTGTGTGTTTGTGTGTGTGTGTATGTGTGTGTATCTACTTTCATTATCTCTTGGATTTTCTTATTATCTTATGGTTTTTATTTCATCCTCTTAACAAAAAGATTATTATACATTTAAAATATTTCATCTGTTGGTACTTCATCAAACACGTTAAATGGTTACTTATAGACTGAGAGCATTTTTAGGCAATAATACACAATGTATTTTATGGGTATTTTGGTTTTGCCTTATTAGAAATGTGGATGTCAATTTTTTAAACTAAATTGCAAGGTTTCTTTACAAGAAAAATATGAACATTATTGGTTCTTGATGAATAAGTGCATATATAGCCAATGCTAAAAACCTATTATTTCCAAAAACAAAACAAAAAATAATACCAGCTAGATGTGGTGGTACACACCAGAAGTACCAGGACTTGGGAGTCTGAAACAGAAATATCGCAAGTATAAAGCCAGCCTGAACTATATAAAGAGTTCAAGGCCTGCTCGTGATGTGTAGCAAGACCCTATGTTAAGAAAGGAGAAATGGGCTGGAGAGATGGCTCAGCCATTAAAGGCTAGGTTCACAACAAAAAATATAAGGAGGAAGGAGAAAGAGAGAGAGACAGAGACAGAGACAGACAGAGAGAGCATATTGCTTTCTAATCGGCCCTGGATATCTACTTTGCTAATGACAAATGCTTATACCAGTCTTTTCTACTTAAGTTGTAAATACAATGTGCACTCTCACCCATGCCAGTTAGGAAACACTGTAACTAGCACATAACTCCTTCATAAATTTCTTTTATGTGTTTGGACTTCATTTCAAATTTATATACAGATGTGTCCCATCCCCTTGTGTGGAGCTAATTCGAAGGTGTCAAAGGGTTTGCTTCACTCAGAGTTCAGTTCCCCCAACCATATAGATTCCATTCTAAAGCAACTATAACAATTTTAAATAATACTATGAACAACTATAACTAATACTAAATCACTGAAATTCACCTTTCTGGGTTAAGAAAAAGTCACTGTTTTCCCCATAGCTCAAACAATTTGGAAGTGGCTTCCATAAGTGATATCTTCCTGAGAATATCCAAATGGAATTCTCTTAATGCTGAAAATTGGTTTTGCCTCAAGAGAGGGATCTGCTTTGAGAGCTTTGTAGAGCATTGTGATTTCTAATAAATTCCTAGTCCTCTGGTCTGATTCCCTCAGGGTTAGAGAGTTTATGACACAGATCCTTTAAATGATGTTATATTTTGAGTCAATTTTTATCAATATTAAAACTTACAGAACCATCATTTTGTGCTTAAAGAAGGAAGGAAGAAAGAGAGAGAGAGAGACAGAGAGAGAGAGAGAGAGAGAGAGAGAGAGAGAGAGAGAAAGGAAGGAAGGAAGGAAGGAAGGAAGGAAGGAAGGAAGGAAGGAAGGAAGGAAGGAAGAAAACAGGCACCCAACATGGACAATAGGGCAAGAGCTCCTATAGTGACCATCTTATGACTAAGGGACCAAAAGTCCTGCAGATTTCCATCTTGACATTAGACAAGGAGAGATGACAAGCTGTCCTCTGAGGATCCGAACCACACAGTACACATGCAGATTGAATTACTGCCAGAATGGCCCCAAAATTTACAAGTGGAGAACTAAATAGTCTCCAGTTGTCTGTGTCTTATCTCTAGGAGATGACAGAAGTGGCACTCCAGTGTGGGTCAATAGGCCTGATTTCAAATCATAGAAAAATCTGTCTCTCTCAAATAAGAAGACAATAGTTTCAACCTTCCTGGCCCACAAGCCAACAACTGAGCCCTCTGCAAAAGTCCCATTCCCCATCCTAACCCATATTCTAATGAGCCCTCTTCTACACATGCCATGGGAACCTTCCAAGGAAGCCAGTCTGCCTGTTGAAATGCTTGTCTGTCTTAGCATGCAGACTGATAGAGATGTAAGCTTTGAGATCACATCCCCACATTAAAGCCCCTATCCTGACTAACTGGCCCTAGCAGCTTGCCCTTGCTTTGACTTGATTCTGGAGTGATTGTTTTCAAATTCCACCTGGTGCATAGCCACTCAGATCTTGAGAATGCCAAAGGAATAAGACCATAATACACACAGGGACAACAATACATGGAATCTACTATTAGCTTGCCCAGCAGACGGTCTTGGGGAGGGCCATTGCCGTGGCTGACAACACTGGCTCATCCACATCACTCAGGACCACCTGTAGAAAGGCTAGGTTACACATCCAACTTCACCTCGTGCACTATGCAGCCTCAGTAACTCCCTCAATAGGTCGTATGCTCAGAGAGGAAAACTAATTTTAAACTTAGCCTAAGTGAAGCAATTAGGAAAGTGACTCATTTAAGAGTTTCATGGGTTTTCTTTTTAGTCTTTCGTTCTCATTTTGAAATCAAGGACTTGTGAGGGTGGAATGAGCCTCTCCGCTTTCTCTTTGAGCGAGGGTAATCAGGCTTCGCCATACATGCAGAATGCACCACATGTCTTTCCTGATCCTGCTGTGGAGCAGTCAAGGCTGAAGGTTGGAAAGCATAGCTTTGGAAAAGTGTGACGCCGTTACCTTTCCATCTGTGAAGAAGCTACGGCTGACTCTTGCTGACTGCGCCTGAGGAATTCCCTTGTGTCTCTCGTGTCTTCTTTACATTTTGGGATTTGGTACTCTAACATATAAAATTCCTTTTTTTGTGGCTGTCAAGAGAGACAGCCACATGAGTAATGTGTAAGCACCTTTATTTGCTTGTGTGTTGGGGTAGGGGTCCGGGTCTTAGTGGCCCATTCTTCATGACCGATTAGTGTTTCTTCTCTTGTTCCAGTTGACTGCTTGGATCCCACCTGCTCCAGCCATGGTGTCTGTGTGAATGGAGAGTGTCTATGCAGCCCTGGATGGGGTGGTCTCAACTGTGAGCTGGCAAGGGTCCAGTGCCCAGACCAGTGCAGTGGGCATGGCACTTACCTCCCCGACTCTGGCCTCTGCAGCTGTGATCCGAACTGGATGGGTCCCGACTGCTCCGTTGGTAAGTCAAGAGATCGTCTCCTCACTTTCCCACACTCAAACCTGGTGTTCCATCACCTTCTAGCTGGATGGAAATCTTGTCTTTATGCTTGGGATAAGAGGGACTTTGGTCAATCTTATGGTACCTTTCTCACTCTCGTCTCTTAAGCCATTGGGTCTGTGATCTTTGAGAATGAAAAGAAAAATCAAATAATTGTGTTGGTTCCTGTCCCTCTTTGGGTCCATCACCACAAATGGATGACGGGCCCAGGAGAGATAATTCTGCTTGCATTATAGGTTTTCTTACGTACACTCCCTAAAGGTAGCAGAAAACAATACAGAACAATTCAGTCCCAGACAAACAGAATAGAACGTCCTATAAAACAGAAAAGAGGCTCCCTCGGGGTGTCGTGTGAACATGTTATAAAGCTCTGCAGTTCTCCAGTGACAGGGAAATAATGAAGTTATGCTGTATACTTTATTTTCCTAAAATTAAGAGTATGTGTCTTACTTCCCAAGTGACCTTAAAAAAAAAAGTGGAACAGTTCAACAGTTCAAGCCAGTCCCAACCTTCCCAAGAAAGGTTCTGTTCACTGACGAGTGCCTATCCAAGCAAGCCATCATCATGTCGCCCCCTTCCTCAGGGTGCTAAGACAGCTGTCAGCTTGCCATGACAATCATAAAGGGAAGAGATGTGAAGCTTTGCCTGCAATGAGGAAAGTAACGAATCTTTCGTTCCAAAAAAGAAAGGAAAAGAAACGGAAGGGAGTCGGCCCACTCACCTCTGGCTTCATGTGCTAGTGGTCCTGGCAAAGTTCTGCAGGGGATGGGGGAAGTATGCAGAGCCCTAGCCCCAAGTCCCAGCTATACTGCAGATGTGCTATAACTTTGAACAAGTCACTGCCCTTCCCGGTCTGGTCCCCTCCCCTTTGGCATGATGAGCCATGCCTCTTTCCGTGGGCTGTTGTAAGGATGAATGTCTGGCACGTGCTTGTCCTCGCGTGATAGGTTTGGAAGGCCAGAGTGAATATCTGTCTGTCTGTCTCCTCCCCACCTCCCCGCACAAAAGACTTTGAGCTCCTTTGAGAAAGAGGCTGTGCAAGTGCAGCCTACTTTACAGTGGTTACCTTTGCCGTAGAGGGCCGATCTGGGGACCATGCAGGTCTGCAGGCATTGGGAGAATGGAGCAGCATGGACCCCAGCAGGCTTCAGTGGCTTGGTCAGTTCAGGCTCTCAGTGAGGAAGAACCCCAGCCAAACAGGGAGCCAGATAGTTCTTTTGCATGTGGTGCACCTCCTGATCAGCTTAGCTAAATGGCAGCCACTGCCTGACCTCCTCTCAAAGGGTCTCAGTATCTAGAAGAGCTGTTGTCACACTCCAGTGAGTATCCAAACCACCCAGAGAGCTTGTTAAAGTGAATTGATGAGTCCGGGCTCCCAACAATACATCTAATTGTTCCAACCTGAGCGCAAGGATTTGCATTTCTTAACATTTCTAACAAGTTCCTAGGTTATGGTAATGCTGCTGGCCCAGGAGCTACAGGTGGAGGACCACTGCTCTAGAAGAAGAAAAATAAATAAATTTAAAGTAGCAAAATGACTCCCCAGCCAGCAGAGAGGAGACAAACCTGCTATGGCTGCTAAGCATCGGCCTGCTCTGGAGCCATGTGTGTGGTCTGGCTTCCTTGAAGGACTTCACCCCGCTGTGGTGTTGAGCTGTAATCATTGTTTTTCTTCCAGAAGTGTGCTCAGTAGACTGTGGCACTCACGGCGTCTGCATCGGGGGAGCCTGCCGCTGTGAAGAGGGCTGGACAGGCGCAGCTTGTGACCAGCGCGTGTGCCACCCCCGCTGCATTGAGCACGGGACCTGTAAAGATGGCAAATGTGAATGCCGAGAGGGCTGGAATGGTGAACACTGCACCATTGGTAGGCAAACGGCAGGCACCGAAACAGGCACATATTGCTTTATTTTCATAAATCGTAGATCGATAGTGACGGTCGTGCATTGCAACTGGCTGTTCCCTCAGGGACACACGTGCCCTCCAACATCCCACTGCCTCTCTAAATCTCCATGGGGTTAGGGAAAGGGGAAAGTGAGGTTCCACTGTTGGAAAAGCCTTTCCCTTCTTTGCAGGGTTGCATTTTGGGGTGGAAAGAGACGCAATCAAATAAGAAACCTTATCCAAAGCACTCTTACTGGGGTGGAAGGAATGCACAAGCATGGGAAGCTGTCAGCGCCCGCAGCTGCCAAGCAGCCTGATATGGTTTTGCCCTTGCTCCCTGCTCTCTCCGGCTGGATCCCCGGATCCCTGGCGCTGGCACCACTGTGAACCTTCGTGGAGCACGTTTGGTGTACACAAGCCTTCAGGTCCTTGGATAACCAGGCACAACTGCCGTAGATCCAAACACCTTCTTGCTCACGCAGCCCAGTGGTTGACTCCTGGGCTTTGCCAACATCACTGGTCCCACTTCATTCTCCACTCAACTACCACTCACACAAAAATTTTCTTAACCAAAAATATCTGTAAACCAGAAGTGGTGGCACACACATTTAATCCCAGCCCTCAAGAGACAGAAGCAGGCAGATCTTGGAGTCGGAGGCCAGCCTGGTCTGCAGAGTGAGTTCCAGGATAGCAAAGGCTACACAGAGAAACCCTGTCTCAAACACCCCCAAAAAATGTTTGTTCTTTGTTTCGAAGTGACCATTTTAAAAGGATTATAAAGGCATACTCTATATAATCCCAACATTTAAGAGCCTGAACTAGGAGGATCTTTAGATTGAAGTCAACCTGAACTATATATTATGACCTTATCTCCCAAAATATAAATACATAATGGTTTTGAAGTTTCTTCATTTGAAGTTTTATGCTTTGAATTTTGTTTTTTGTTGGGGGAGTGTTTGTTTTTGTTTTGCTTTGTTTTGTTTTTTGGGAGGTTTTTTTTTTTTGGTTGTCGTGTTTTTGTCATTCTATGTTTTTTCCCCTTTCTTTTTGCTTGAGAAAGCACAGGCTGCTCTGAACGGGTTTAATTAACTCTTTGATGGAGGATTGGAAGCCAATACTTTTTTCTCTCAAATAGTTAAGATTACAAGCTAATCCACCCAACCATCGTTTTGGGGTTTTTTTCCTGCAGTTTTTGCTTTTGTTGCTTATCTTAGTCTATTGGATGACTCTTCCACACCAGGTTTGATAATCTACTATAGCCTGCATAGACCCTTCATGGGAGGCTCCAAGCAAGCAGCTGCTTCCATGCTTCAACTTACCTTAGATTCTAGTCACAAATTTAGAACCCTATCCTCTGTCCTAGCCCCAAAGCCCAAATTGGCCATCCAGAATGAGAGACAAGGAGAGGATCTTGCACAGGGCTGACTGATGAGGTCAGACTCAGTTTCCCATGCTGTTCATTCGGGCAGTTAAACAGAGATGAAGTGAACCGATTCTGCACTTGACCCCCCTCCATTCCATCTAATTGGCCATTTGAAGGGCAGTGCGCCAATCAGGGCCATGACTATTGCACTGTGAACCTGCTGGGACAGTCCGTTGGCAGTGAATTGTTATTGCAATCTCTCAATGATGCTCCAGGTCCTGCATTCCCTGCAGCCACTCTCATCTCAGCTCCCTGCAAAGGCTGAGGGACCACTCACCAGACTTTCAGGGGAGGGATGTGCACAGCCCAAGACCAAGACAGTCCTTACAGTGGCTTCCACTCTTCAGGGCTTTTTCTGCATGCCTGGTTTCAATAAGAATTTCTCCCCACCCTCATATCTCTGTTGTCTCTATTGCCCCCTTCCAGAAGCTCTTGCCAATCAACACTCTTGAGATAGATAATCCCACATCTCTCCATTCATATACTTCAATTTCGGCTCTCCCTTTCCCTGTCTGGGAAGTATAGGGCAGGGATAGTGTCTCCAGAATGGAGCCTATTAGCTCTCACTCCTGCCACAACCTATTTTCTGGTCTAGAAGTAGTTCACAGAGAGGAAAGACGACCAGGTAGACCTTAGGGCAGGTGTTGGCCAACTGTAGCCAAAAATCTGGCCTGATTACAGATTTTTCTGTAGCTTGCTAGCAAAGAACTGTTCCTGACAATTTTTAAGCCTTGATAGAAATCCAGAAAGAAAAGGAAAAAGAAACATTTGCTGACATTTGACAATGCTATGAAATTCAAATTTCAGTGTCCATACCCAGAGCATTGGTAGAGGACAACCACACCAGTTCTTTGACATCTTGTTAGTGGCCAGCTACACATCTGCATTGAGCAATCACAATAGAGGTTAAAAGAGCCACCAAACCTATTGTTATGTAGCCCTTCTTAAAACAGTGACTGAGCTCTACATGAGAAAATTGCCTAAGGCCAGATGAAGAGAGAGGTAAAAGGAAAGGCAGGTGGGCCTCCCTGTAAGGAAGAGACACCACCAAGGGCGGCTTGACAGATTTGTGGCCAAAGGAAATGGGAGAGTACCCACAGCGTGCGTGCCTATAAGGGAAGACCAAAACCATAAACTGAGTTGTCTCTGGAGCCTTTGAACATGAAATGGACCAATGACAGCTTTGATCTCAGTGGAGGACAGTGAGGTTGTGGCCAGTAGGAGAGCCCAGGCACTTCAGTTAAGTGGGCCTTTGGGTGAGATGACTTAGCAAAGGGTGTCTCTGCTCAAGTTTCACATCTCTGTGACCTGACACCCATGAGCTCTTGAGGGGTGTCAAGGAAATGCCAATTTGCATGCAGCATAGCGCTCCAAGAATGGAGAGGTACTAGTGCACACAAGTCCCTGGTTCCAAATTAGGATGCCCAGAGATATTAGAATCTCTTAAGAAAGTTGTTAAGATTGTGATTGCCAAAGCTTTTTCTCGGGAGAAGTCAGGGCTCCCCAGATTAGTTAATAGGACCTGTGTTGTCTCTTCCTTGTTTCCTTCTCTGTGTTTTCTCAAAAACAGCTAAAGTCCCTTAGTTGGTGAGAGTCACTATTGGAAAGCTGGGGAGAGAATCATGCATGCATAATTACTTCTCAGGCTTTCCAGCTACTGGCCCCTGGAGCGGCTTCATGGAGTTTCAGTCTTTTAGTTTGAACAGACATCCCTGTCATTTCATTTAAAGTAAATGCCACAATTTACAAGCCCAGAATCAGCCTTCCTCCTCAGGGAGACTTGACAGTCAGAGGAAAGAAAAGAACTTAGGGCCTTTCTACACAGAGCCTCAAATGCTATGTTTTGAAGATAGAAAATAAATAAGAATGAAATGGCACTGGTCAGTAAACAGTGGGGTAAGGCAGGATGGTGGATGGTTGGTGTTGGGTGCTCAGGTGGCCTGCAGCCTGTTTCCAGAAGGTCGTAGAGGGATGGTTTCAAGGGAGTCCTTGCAAATAGTCACCTGAACAATTCACACAAGCCTTTATAGGTTGCATTTATTGTACTGAAGAAGCAATAAGATGGGGAGGGAAGAAAAGAAAGAGACGTTGAAAGTGCAGACTTCCCAAAAGTCATTCAAGTAGAAGCCCCAGGGGCTCTCCATCCTTGGGCAAATGCATTTCCCAAATTTGTAGCCAAATTATTTTTATTTGGAAATTTAGTGTGTGTTTTATGGCTACACATTTGAATCCAAGGTATAATGTGTTGGTGTTAACTGTAAAAGCTAAATTATCTGCCCAACAATGAGCCTTATGTTCATTGCTAACAAGTTAAATATAGGGTCTAAAATCTATAGAACTGCATAGATAAGAATAGACTGAATCTAAATCACTACACTTCATGTATATCTTTGGAATATATTAGCATTATTTGGGTAAGGTGCAGTTTATTCCTATGAATAAATCAGAAGGCATATTGTGTGGTTAGAGGAGGTTTATTCCTTAAATGTGATTTTAAAATGGATTTCTGTTCCTATAAACTGCCACCTGCCTATCACCTGCCACCACCCCTTATTAATATGAAGGATTTAACATAAGAAGGCCATCCAATGGCCATCGCACCACAGCTTGATGGAACTATAGAATTTTTATTAGGTCAAATCACTTGAACTATAGTAAACCCAGATAAGCATTTCTTATATAATAAAAAGGTGAATTGGGTGTTAGTGTGTTTGACTGGCAGAATAGTTGAGAAAATACAAGGAGACACCAGCATTCCTGTTGCCAGGGAAATGAGGGCAGTTATCCGTGCATGGTGCGTTGTTGTGATCCTCTGCTGGATGTAGGCCTCCATTCCTGCCAAGTAACACAAAGTGACAGTCTAGAGACTCAGTCCCCCAACACTGGTGCTTTCCAAACCTGGGGAGCTGTTGAGGGCATGGGCAGTGAACAGCATGTGCAACAGGTATTCCAACCTGTGTATTTTACCTCTGTGGTCCTGACCTCTGCTCATGTTTCAGAATTGTGACAACTTGATTCTCAGGGCCACTTGGGGCTGAGTGACCTGAGCAGTTGTCACATGTCAGAAGAGTTTTCTTTTCCATCTATTGCACTGGGCCCTTCTATTTTTCCTCTTTAATTGGTTGGGGAAAGAAAAGGTTTCTTGAGATGTTAATAAGGATAATGAATCTTTACCCAAGGTAAAACCATCCAGGCGACAATGAGATGTGCTGATTAAGTGACTGTCATCAGAAGGAGACAGGGTCACAGTCCGGGAGGGAGAAAGTCTCAGAACTATAGGGAACAAGCTTAGAGAAAAGCAACTGTTAAAATTAGCCATTGTCACACAAAGCCAGCTGGCTTTGCATCTCATTCCACCTTCCACCCAAGTTAGGGAAACTGGTGGAGCTATCGCTCCCTTCCCCCTTTTATTAATGTAGCTGTTATCCTTGAACATTGAGCTTTTGTGACTATAGTGAGTTCAAGCTGAGATGAATCTAGCCTCTGTGGAGTCATCCTCAC